GTATCGCGCATAATTTCGATTGGGGGAGGCACATGCAAATTCGCGCCGGAAGCAGGGAAGGCACGCATGCGCACTGCGTTTTTCACGCGTGTCGGTACATTCACATTCAAGTGTAGAAAAACTAACTTCCTAACTAATCTAAAATCTAAGATAAAAACTAAAATAATAAAGATAAAAAGAAAACACCTGCTTTTCAAGGAGGCCGTGTGTAAAAACAGAATATCGCTAATTAAATTATTTGTCAATCAAAATTTATGTCTCTTAATTTTCCCTTAAAGATACTAGGGGATGTCAATTGCTGCACCTCCAGAGGCAAGCTGTTCCATAACACACTTCCGCTGTAAGAAAGACTTCTTTTATAAGATTTAGTACGGGGTTGTGAAACAGCGAGCTTGTATTCATTCTCTCTAAGGTTATAACTGGTTAAATCGCAGCGAAGAACAAAACGCGTCTGGAATGTGTTATTTTACAATGCTATGCAACATTATTGCTTTACTAACCGTGCGCTGATGGACAAGTTTCGACCACTTTAAATTTTGAAATAATTCACTACTGGAGTCATTAGCATTTAAGAAGTCATTTGCATCGCATGTCAGTCGCGTAGTTCCGGAACTAAACCTCTTCTTGCAGGGTAGCGAGGATTGGGCTCTCCGAAGCTTTCAAATTCTTTATTTTATTTTTGGGGTGGTACTCAAAACACTGGAGAAAAACACATAGCATGGAATTAAATTTTTTATAGTGCACAATTTTGAACTTGGCTAGAAAATTTACACAGTCTAGCATGATATTTATTTTGGTTGTACCTGCTGGTGATTTTGCAGCTTTAGAAGCCCCAGGGGTGGGGGGCAGTTGTGCATAGTAATTATGAGTTTATTATTAATAAGCCTGTTTTATCCTGCTTACGGAAGGGCTATTTTGCAGAATGATGAATGGCCACCAAATGCCAAATGACCCTGAAGTTTAGTGATAAGGGTTAGGAAACTGAGTGAATCAGGTGCTATTTTGTAGGGTCATTCCTGGGAAAAATAACCTGAAACTGCATACTCCTCACTCAGGTGCTTTGTTTTATTGCACAGAGGGGAACACAAAACGTGAGTGACATGTGAGTGACTGGTGATGCAGTGCAAGTGTACATGGAGATGGAGATGTTTGGGTATGGGGCAGGACCTGAGACTTGATTCATTCAGGTTTCTTTAACCCGGCCCTTAGAATTCATTTGGTGTGCAGTGACTATTTGGCATTCTACAAAATACCCCTTCTGTCCTTATTCCTTTCTTTGTTAAAAGGACAGCAGAGACCAGGTTGTCGCCCCACTCTCCCTCCCTGCAGTGATAGCTCACTTTTGCACCTAAGCTCGCACTCGTATTCTGCTGCCTTCAGGATCCCTCTTCCCATAACTTATCTTAACCTGGGACACCAGAGACCAGGTTGTCACCCCACTCTCCCTCCCTTCAGTGATAGCCCACTTTTGCACCTTTATAGCTCCCACTCCTATTCCACCTCCAGGTTTGCCTCGTCCCATAACTTATCTTAACCTTTGATGTTTGGGAGTGAGAACAGGGTGTCCTTTTGCAACAGAATCCTTAAAACGAGTATAAAGGGTGGCGATGATGTGTGGTACCATCAATTCTTAGTTATAATGTTAGCTTGAAAAATTACTTAATTCTGTGGGCAAAATGAAATGAATCAGGGTCATAAAACTAAGTCTCTTTTCTTAAACAGGGTAGCAAACTGAATAGCCTGCAAGCAAGCTCTTCGGGGCACTCTGGTAAGGGGGTGGGGGGGGAAGGAATACTTGCAACTATGTCTCTGGAATTTGAATTCCTGCACCTCCAATTCTTTTGTGGCTGCCTGTCAAGTGAGGTGTCTGATTTCCGCCAATCAGCACAAAGCCGAAATGCGTGAGAATATAAACAAACATTGAAAAACACGTGCCAAGGGTAATGATGTCATTACTAATGTCATCTCCACCAATCAGCATTTCGCAGTGACTTTTTTATGCAGATATTCAAATTCCAGAGATATAGTCGCAAACTTTCTTTCCTTTTCCTACCTCAGTGTCAGATTGCCCCGGGGGGGGTACTGCCATATATGGGCTATATAGGTATGTGCCGCTATGAAGGGTATGGTTTTCAAGCAGTTTACTCTAGGATAGGGTATATAAATCAGAGCGTTTGGCTCTAGAATAGGGTATCATTTTTCAGGAAACTGATCAGTTGGTTGAAGATTTTATCTAGACTAGGTACACAGCTACTCTAGGATAGGGGGATATGGGGAGTTTACTCTAGTATAGGGTATCATTTTTCAGGAAACTGCATGATCAGTTGGTTGAAGATTTTATCTAGACTAGGTACACAGCTACTCTAGGATAGGGGGATTTGGGGAGTTTACTCTAGTATAGGGTAGCAAAATTCAGCTGAACTAGCTCTGGTAAAGGTTAAGGGTTCCAGGCTCCCAGCGGCACATCCCCACCCAGAAATTCCTAAAGTGCCCCCCCCCCGGGCAGATTGCCCCAGAGAGCTTACTTACAGGCTAGAGACTGAACGATTTTTGTACTAAAGTATACCTCTACCCAACCTTCCCTTTGCATTGAGTCCCCATTCCCACCCCCCGAGGATTAGAAGTGCTATAAAACCTGTTAGTTGTACCCATCAAATGATAAGTACCGCATTTATTCGATTAACCGCCCTAAGCGCCCACTCTCAAGGTCCAAAAATTTAATAACCGCCCTTGGACCTTGAGAGTGGGCGCTTATTGGAGGTGGGCGCTTATTCGAGGCTCGGCGCTTATTAAATTTTCACCATTTTCAGCAAGTGAAGTATGTTTATTTTCCAACAAAACAATAAATGCTAATAACAAAACGCAAAGAAGTAAAAAAGCAAGGTTTCTGTAAAATACTCTGAAGAAAACTCCGTCCTCGGGGAAGTCTCCTATTGGAATTTATTTACTCAAGTGGGTGTGGTGGGGTGAGCGATTATTTGATTTTGATTGGGAGGAGGAGGGGGTGGGTGCTTATTCGAGGCTGAGCACTTATTAACTTTTTCTGCCTTTAGGATGGGCACTTATTCGAGGTGGGCGCTAATTCGAGGTTGGGCACTTATTTGAATAAATACGGTATGTTAGGATCGGAGATACTAGCTATGTAAGCTACACTAAAATCCGAGGATAAATAAAGTTTATGTATGTATGTATGTATGTAAGAAGTTTGGTGAGAAAAGAAAAAGAAAACCAAGGAAGAAAACAAAGAAAACAGCCCATGATGCAGAGGTTGGAAACAAAAGCCTTAAATAACAAATACACCATATAACTTTAATTAGATAAAATTAAATATGTATAGGGTATCCAAAATCAACTGCATAACAGAAAGGATTAAAACATCGACTTGGTAACTGAATTAAAGCAGGAACTACAGACAGGGATTGTTTACCTCAACACAATGCCCAATAACAGCGGCATATTAACGGCTATTTAAGGTTGGAAAATTGATGTCTACCCTCTGACCCTTTTAAGTACCTTTCTGAGGGAAAAGGCACCGCTATATATTTTTGTTATGAAAAACTGGTCACATTTATATAACTATGGAGTTTGTCTTTAAATTTAGGTAATTTAGACTATGGAAACTAGCCAATCTCAGTGGTAGATCCAGACCTTGAGATAAGGGGGGAGGGGGGGTGGGGGGGGCGGTCATCCAGACCCTTAGGGGGGGGGGCGGTCTCCAAAAAAATTTTTTTCGGCCCTTCGGGCCTCAGTTTCGTCTAGAAATAAGGTGGGGCAGGGCCCTTCCCCTGGCAGTCCGCTACTGAATCTAGTGAGCAAATTAGAAGTGACCCCTTTTGGGCACGGGTGAACTATACAGTGGAGGATCTAGGGGAGGGCCCCTCCTTAGTTTTAGACCAAACTGAGGCCCGAAGGGTTGAAAAAAAATTTTTTGAGACCGGCTTCCCCCCTTATCTCAGGGTATGGATGACCGCCACCCCCCTCCCTTATCTGAAGGTCTTGAATCCGCCACTGCTGTAAAGCTAGAGGCGAAGACGTCAAGACTTGTCAGGTGACGTGAAAGATATAAGATGAAAAGCTCCTTGTTTTCCATCCTTAATTTTCTCCTTCAAAATCGTTCTGTTTGAGAACACGGAAAAGTCACATCAATCATTTCACGAACTGCTTCATTCAGTATTAAACATGTGGAAGTTCTTGAGAATTACTGCATTTCTTATCTACAAATTAAGACACAAAGGTATATTAAGCCCAGCTTCAGCGTCGATTGGCTCCGATAATAGTTACAAGAAAATGTAAATTGATGGCCTGGGCCCCGTGGGGGGAGTACTCCCATACATTGCCTATACGGGTATGTGCCGCCCAACGGGGTCGTGATTTTGAAGCTCCTGATTTAGAACGGGGTATCCATTTCAGAGGCGTTTTCAAGAACGGGGTATAATATTCGAACGTACGAAAGCTCCAGTTTTGTAAGCAGCCATTTGACTTGTTTTATTCAAGGACAGATTGCTTTTAAAAATACGGCTCAATGCGTTAACATGCAAACCGTTGTACTCTTGTTGCACCCTAGAACGGGGTATCAGTCTTAGGGTGAATTCTAGAATGGGGTATAAAAAATTGGCCCATTTCTAGAACGGGGTATCAATCTTAGGGGATTTTGTTTTAGAACGGGGTGCCAATTTGGAGTCCCGGGCGGTACATACCCACCCAAAAAATACCCAAGTGACCCCCCACCCGGGGGGGCCTGGGCTACATGCGTTTGTTTAGCTGGATGGTATACCTGTGCAAGCGACGGAGACTGGAGACTGGGACCGTTCTTGTTTTCCAAAATGGCTGCTTTCTTGTTCTGATGCTTTCTTGTCCTGACCGCCTTTCAAAGCGAAAAAGCTTTTCATCGAATATAGCTAAGTCGGTGACAACTTTTTGAGAAATCTTATCCGGAGAGAACTGGAGAATTTGCAGGAAAGTTGGGCCTAAGAGGAGTGAAAAACTTGCTCGTAAACACCATGGCACATAACAGTCTTCGTTCTTCGACTTCCTCCTTTGGGCGGAAAAGAACAAACTCTGATGATTCTAGAAAAGAGGTCTTTGAAGCTGCAAAGTCTGGAAATTCTGTTCTCCTTAATGAGGTTCTTAATAACCTGGATAGTACAGAGAGGATATCTGTATTAGGTGCTGATTTTCAGTATATTGGTGATGGATGGTCTTGGCAAGTCAGCGAAAAGTCAGCGGACTGGGTCACGCCATTAATAGTTTCTGTGCGAAATGGAAATCTTGATTGTGTGAAAGTGCTCTTGAAGTATGGAGCAGACATTGAAGAGCGAGGAGATTTTATGCGTCACTACAAGTCCTGCACTCCTTTGCTCGTTGCTGCTACTTGTGGAAATGTTGAAATGTTGAGGTTCTTGGTTGAAAATGGAGCTAACGTAAATGGAACTGACGATTTTGGCCTCACCCCACTAATGGCTGCTGTTGCCAATCAATTCCTTGATGCAGTGACCTTTCTTATTGATCAAGGTGCTGATGTGAATTTACAAGACGGCAGTGGCTTAACAGCACTTCACTATGCCACTGAAGTTAGTATTGATCCCTCAAGTTGTTTAATTGTTAAACAGCTTATTAATCGTGGAGCTAACATAAACGCTGTTACAAAGTATGACATGCTCACCCCTTTGATGCTAGCTTGTAAGAATAAAAATGTCAGTGTAGTAAACTGTCTCCTTCAAAATGGAGCTAATGTGGCTCTTACAGACGACAATGGATGGACAGCCCTTCACTTTGTTGTGGATGAGTTCAATGACTCTTCCGAGATTTTGAGGTCTCTTCTTAATTATGGAGCTGATGTAAATGCAAGAAGTATTGACAATGAAACCCCTCTAATGGTAGCTAGCCGGTCTAGGGATGTGGAAACAGTGACTTTGCTTATTGAACAAGGTGCTTATGTAGATCTTCAAGATCAAAAGGACAATACAGCTCTTCATAATGCTGTAAGCAGGAAATCTGAAGAAATTGTTGGCACACTTTTGAATGCTGGAGCATCCAACTTGTGTAACAGTCAAAGAATGACATCTCTCTTGCTAGCTTGTAGTAAGGGCTATGTGGCAATGGTAGAGAATCTAATCAAGCAACCAGAGATAACAAAAGAGCAAAGAATAAATGCATTAGAACTTCTTGGAGCATCTGTTTTAATTGAGGAGTGTATGCTTGAAAATGCCGATCTTCATGATTGGAAAGGATTCAAGTACATCAAACATGGCATGATGGAAAGGTTTGCTGATCCTTCCCATCCTTTGTTTAAACAAGAAATGGAACCTGTTGAAGCTTATCAGAACAGAAGAGAGTGTCAAACTCTGGAAGAGCTTGCTGAGATTGAAGGTGATAGGGATGCTGTCATCATGGAAAGCCTTATTATTCAAGAGAGAATCATGGGAAGAAATTATGAAGACCTAATTGCAGTTATTAGAAACATTGCACATTATTATGAAGACCATGATCTTTCTTCCTGTATAAAGTTGTTCAGGCATGCTATGAAAATGGCCCCAAAATGCGATCTATCAGCTGTGCATGACTTAAGCATCATAACCAGTGCATTGTTCAATAGGTTTGAAAATGGTGATCTTTCAAAAAAAGAGGATTTTCTTGATGCTCTTGACCAAACAATTCTTGATTATGATTGTGAAATGCAAAGAAAGATGACAAATGAACAGGATTCAGGGTATCATGTGTTGTATCTCTTTGATTCCTTACAGGAACTGGTTTTCATGATAAGCAAATTTGAATGTGCTGATGAAGGAAGACTCTCAAGTTCAGCACTGTTATTGAAAACTATTTCCAACTTGAATCTTCGAGATGGTGACAGTAATACGATCTTACACCAGTTTGCCTTACATCATGGCAGATGTTCTTCATATTCCTACGCTGGCGCAGTGAAACTTCTTCTGAATGCAGGATTCAATGTCAATGCTATCAATGGTAATGGAGATACTGCACTTCACATAGTTGCCACTTTAAAACCCGGCGATGATGAAATCCATCTTTTAACTGACATGTTGCAGGTTTTGTTTGATGGAGGTGCACATCATGATTTTGTTAACAATGATGGTAAAACACCCATGGACGTGGCTGGAACTGATGAAGCTCGCATGATTCTTTCAGAGAGAAGAAAACTGGACTTAAAGTGTATCAGTGCCAGAGCTGTGAAAAGGTTTGGAATTCCTTATTTGGGGTTGGTACCCAAAATACTGGAAAAATACATCGGCATGCATTAAAATGCATGTTTTAATTAGCTTAACTTGAATTTGTGCAATCTGATTGAATAGACCTTTTTCATGATACCTGCCATCTTTGCACATACTCATTTTAACCCTTTTAGACCCTAAGATCAAAATTTGAATTCTCATTTGTTGCCCCTATTCGATTCCTACAGAAGTAAGTGGGGAGAAGTTGCTAAAATATCAAGCAAATTCATCTTGTGTGATCATGTCCGTAATTCTCATGACCACCCTGTTTTACATTAGCATTGATATTAAAAGAAGAAATTTGATGCTGATCTCTTCTAGGGCTTAAAGGATTAAGGACTGATGAGGCAAAGTTCAAACTAGTGAAAAAATTTGCCAACTCAAGAAATTGCAGTCTAGTTTGTTTATTCTAGACAACAGGTAATAAAGATTTTTTCATCTTAAAGATGATAATGGCAAAATGATGGGTGGAGGTGATCAATGTAGATGTTCACACGGCAAACAATGACGCAAATATTGTTGAAACCATACAACATTTTGCATGACTTAATCAGAAATCATTTTCTTGTTGTGACAGAATAAACAAACTAACTGTGACTACTCATATTGGTAAATTTTATCACTTGCTTTCTCCCTGAAATACCACGTGACATTGTTTTTATCCCATTGATCCTAAAGCATGTGCAGAGATGAAGGGAGACTGTGAATAAGGTCTATGGGCAAGGTTAAGGTTAAATTGCTTAACACATCTTTTGTGTGTGATGTTGATTTGACTGCAGACCTGCCAGTCTGTCATCAGATAATTTTTTACCAGTAGCTATAATCCTGCCTACAGAGAGGGCACATTCCTTTGGGATGATCTGGATCAGGATCAGTGATCCAAGATCACACAGATCAGTAGTGATCAGTAGTGTCTGATAGCACGTTGCTGGTGAATTTTGCTATCGGGCTAGTGAATTCTGTTTTTAACTTGCCTGACAGGCAAGTGATGTTTTTTTGAGGAATTCGAATAGCAGGTGAACTGTGAAATCAATTCTGGTCGTCAAAAAGTTTTTGGGGCTAGATGAAATGAAGTCTGGGGTAGTAAATTCTAGCTTCAGCTTGCCCAAATGGCAAGCTGTAAGTATGATTTTCTATTCACCCTGATGATTTTCTATTCACCCTGACTCAGATCATGGTAGATCAAATGAACTGTCGATGAATCCTTGTCCCAAGTGGATTCATCGGTTCATTTGATCTACCATGATTATTTGTCTTGCTCAAGAAATTTTCATTCCTCCTCATCAGATAGTGCTGCTATTATCACAAACACTTTTACAGCAGTCATTAATGCTTCTGTTCTAGATGCTTTAGATGCTTAAAAAGAAGCACGTGTGATTCCCTTGTTTAAAAAGGAAAAAGAGTTTGTACGGGGGATAGCCTGCATAGCAAGCATTTTGGTGTAGTTTTTGAGCTAGGAACAAGGAACGAGAGTCAAAGACCACACGTAAAATGGGGTGAGTAAAAGAGTGGGGAGGGGGTAGGGTCCTTCCCCTCTCCCTCCCCCTTCTTTTATGTTTTGGCTTTTGTTCCATTTTTCTTGCGGCCAAAACCAAAAATCCCATTCCCCCCCTCGTTGTCCCTTGGTCTTTCTTTGCTTCGAAACCACACGCAAACGCTTGCTATGCAGGCTATATGGGGGACAGTAGTGCCTCCCTCCCAAAATTCTCCCCTCGCCTCCTTAAGCGAAAAAGGCAAAACTGATGGGGAAAGAAGGTAAAAGTTAATAGCCCACATTCAATATATAAAAGCTCTAACGTGACTCGGAGGCTTTATGGTCATATTGCTATATTTGGTTTGGTTTTGTTTGTGCTCAAGTCTCTTCTGGGAATTGCGAGATGATGGAGTCGTGAAAAATTTTCAATTTTGTCCCTTGGAATCATGTTAGGATTTTAGTATACAGAACGTGGTTTTTTTCATCAAGCTTTTTCTGTTTTGCTATCTGCGCATAACCCAACTGGAAGGCACGTCTGTAGGTCCCCCTGAATAGATCGAAAAGCCGGATGTCCTCACTCACAAAATTGAACAGTTCTGTTTCTTTTTTGTCAACATTGTGTCCTGAAAACAGCTTTGATAAGAACCTTTGAATGGCATTTTTGGCATGAATGACATTTTCAGCACTTTTGAATCCTGGAGAAAAAACGGTCTATAAATCTATAATAATGATAATGATAATGATAATGATAATAATAATAATAATATTATTATTATTAGAATTATTAGAATTATTATTTTTGAGTACAGAGGTGTACGGGCAATTGCCTTTCTAGTGACGAATGAACTAAGATACATGTACAAAAACTCATTTTAATGATTGCATTGGATATCTTTAACACCTTTTTAACTAACTTCAATTCATAAACATCATTTAACTGTCAAAAAATATTACTTCAGCAAAATACCGCTGCAATTAGAATTCATTCAATTGAATTAATAGAACAGAATCAAGGCCACTTTTCTTTGGCATCAAAACGGTTTACCTTCAAAATTTAATGGAAAAAAAAATTGATCTATGAAGTTGATCTTAGACTACGAGCAGTTTCTCTTCTTTGTTAGTCCGTCGAGCGAAACTTGTTGGAACAAAAATGACAAAGCGCGAGACTGAAGGTGCAAGACGGAAGAGGCTTCTCGCGCTGCCACGCTCGCGCGCACGCTCGCGCGCTCTAAATATGAAGAAAAAGAGAGACTTCTCGCGCCTTCAGTCTCTTGCGTGGCCATTTTCGTGTCTCGAGCGTTTCTCTAGATAGACTAAGAAAAAAGAGAGACTACTCGTAATCTAAATTGTTCTCAACAAGAGCCTCACGGGCTTAAACTTTTCCCTATAACCACCTTCGCACGTTTAAAAAATCTGGAGAAATAATGTGTTGCGCTTGGTAATATTTAAGGCTATGTTGACGCTTAACCGGGAAGCTTTTGCGCCTGCGTGAGAACCATACGGGATAGGGCTTCTGTACACGCATAAGGACTTTGATTTCGACGTGGTTTCTATGATCCGGGGCACGATTTGAGACGATTTGAGATCTAGAATTTTCGGAGCATTTGTTGTAAAATTTCTTGCTTGCCTGCCTTTCCTAGGATTTTCCAACATCTAAAAAATGGTATAATTGCCTATTTTTAACGGATTTTTACCCCACAAAGGTCACCTAGAATTTTCGGGAGCCTTTTTTCTGGCTGAAATTTTCGAAAAGGTAAGTTTTTGATCGCTATAATTTTCGGATCACTTGACTTTCAGCTAGGAAATCCGAACAGATGAAAAATTTTTAGGCGATAAAAATATGCCTAAATCTACCGTTTAAATACTAAAATACGTTTAAGAATTCTATGTTTAAGTGGTTTTGAACTATATTCTCGTTGGGTGCCCCTGTATGATGGAGCGAGGCTGCTTTTTTGCGCCGATCTCTAAAGTAGAGCGTCACATATCGGATAGGTTCTTTTCTACGCTTGATGGTGCAATGTGAACAGGTACTCGGACCGTGACGGAAGTAAATGAGTAGGGGCAAGGAATGGAAAAAAGACGAAAGTAAATATTCCGGAGTAAGGTCTGTGATTTTAATAGTTAACCAAACTGTCTCGCCCAATCGCTCCGGTACGATCTACGATGTGTGTGAACGACTTGTTCCAGTTCATACTTTACGAAAAGCTACCGGTATAGCGTGAACATTGCCTAACTCAGAGTGACCCGAGTGTAAACGTTAGTTTAGCGCGTGCTATACTTACTAACGGTGCGTGTGACCGTGATTTTAACTGCCAAACACTTTTCTCCAGATGGGTGCCGTGAATGCATCTTCGACCCTTTGGCCGGAAATGAAATATCTTCGCACCATCAGCAGTATTTGATTTTTTTTTTTTTTATTTTAGTCTCATATCGCCAATAATGTCCTGGAGTAAATCTCAGAACTGACCGAGAATCCAAAGGGATAAGGAAACATCGCTTGCTTGTTAACTAGCACTAACTAAACATCGACTGAGACAAAAACAAATAAGATTCTCTACTCAGTTTTGAAACCACGGTAACGCAAGTGATTTTTTGCGTTTAGTGCAAAGGTGGCTCACGACAGGTCAAACCCAAGCCTTCTCCGAGTTAAAAGAACTTTCATGTTCAAACGAGGCTAAGTGCAAAACCTTGCTTGTGAATATAGACAATACTTCGAGTTGTGGAAAGTGCGGGCGTAGGGTATTTATGCACGAGTTGTTGACGTATCAGAAATCTCACTCCTTCGATTTCTGATACAAAAATAACGAGTGTGGAAATAAAAAGGATGTCAACGGCTTTGCACTTATTCTCGCTTTGAAACAACGTTACTTAGGACATTTCAGACGTGGCCTATTTACACTCAAAAAAATACAGAGGCTTTATGCGTACGCTTGGCCATCCGAAGACGACAGTTTACAACGAGGGAGGGCAGATGGCTGTCCACAGGTCATAATAACTGGCACCGATATATGCTTGATCACGTGGCTTTCACTACCACAACAACATCCACGTCGGACTGGTATCATCTGAGTCAGATGCTCATAACTAACCGGATCGCGGTGGTGGACTGTGCACTCAGGGGCTCGGTGGACTGTGCAATCAGCTGCTTGGGATGCTGCAATGTAGCCTGAGTGGGAAATCACTTGGAATGCTGCCGTTTCTCGCGTAGGTTGAACATGCGCAGGAACTTGCTTTTCGTGATTCTTGCCTGCGCATGCGCGGTCTGTCTCTAAAATGCCACTGTCGTAAAGGTTTTTGATTGGCTTGTAGTTGTACGGAAGATCTACAAACTTGTAGACTAATCGTTGGCCGCTCACCTTTAAAAGTAAAACAAATTCGCAAATTACCTTCACTTGTTAGATTAAAATTTAGCGACGAGTTAGTCACGATTTTGGGAATTTTTGTCGTAAACGCTAGGTTATAGTTTCGCGGAACGTTAAAAATACATGAAACTTGGAGAGAGTCTCGGTTATATAGAAATCGTAATATCTTAAGCAGTTAGTTGAGTTTTGCGCGAATTTGATGTAACACGAATTCGGCCCCAGTCAGCCGGGTTACCCGTGGTGAAACGTTTCATGGGAAAATGCGACCCAGGCTGAGAGGGTTACCCCGTCTGGCAGACCGGGGAACGCGCCCCGGCGGGTCACCCCACCTATCATGTAAACGTGATGAAATTAAAATATGAGAGATTATATGGACAGGCAGGTTACCTCACCAACATGGGGTCCCTATCTCAATTTAAATGGCCTCTACTGATGCCATACCAAATTTATGGAAAAGGGTGTAGAACATGCATGTCCAAAGTCCACTCACCTTTTTAATAATATTCTTTTGATAATAATATCGAAGTGCTCTGCTCAGCTTATCGTAATTCATCCCAGGGCGTTGTTTGAGCTCTCCCCAGCGCTTCGCCACCTCCTCCTGATTGCGTAATTTGAATTCTCTCTTGTCTTTATCCGTCCACGTGATCAAGGAAACGTAGCGCTCGTCCGCAAGAAGTTCAAGAAGGAATTCCCATAAGTGGAAAGCACTTCGTGAAGTACCGCGTTTCTTAGCGAATGAATCTATGCCTGTGAGAGAGAAAAGTGATTTGTCACGATTTTCAGGGATACAAGTAACAGACCTACCTGCTGCTCACAAGCCCCCGCCCGCCCTCCACCTTAAAAGCCCTCCCATTTATAGGCGCATCTACCTGTTAAAAAAAAAAAAAAACAATACATCCGATTATAAGCCTCCCCCCGGATAAATGCCCTCCCCTAGTTCTTATGTGAGAACAGAAGCTCTATAGAGCGTTTTCGTGTGACGTCACAGCGATGAACAATGAAATGACGGCCATGTTGGTGTACGAAGACAACCCCATAATGTTTGGTATTATTGGACGTGAGGACGAGACATTCTTGAATCATATTTTATTACTGGCAAAACAATATCTATACTCTTGTAGACAGAACAAATATTCTCCCTCCATTAGAGTCCTTAATTCCAAAATTAATACTGTTTTCTTAATCGAGACAATGATCGCTAAGTCACATTAAGTTGGAGACCCACAATATGAAATGGAGCAAATATAAATGTGATCAGCGTACGATCCTTTCGCCGCTCACGTCATTTATTATTAATTTTTACTAATTTTTCATGTAAATAGAGAAGAATGTTCTGGGGTGTGTTTCTTTCCTTCTTTTTTATCAGTATGTAATTGTGTGAGTCTGCGATGTATATATGTTTAGTTTTCTTTTCTTTTTTTTTGTATTTTTCCTACGTGTTCATAAGGGTCAGTGTGTACAAAACTGTAATACATAACAAAATAGAAATCCATTAGAATATAAAAAAAACCCTGTGGGAATTGTACTCTTTTCTTATGTAAAAACTTTCTTTTGTTTCAATAAATTAGCACAGATGCTGGCCACGTGAGTGAAAACAGAGAATACGGTAGAGTGTGAACACAGGCTATATCACATTCATCGCTTGCCTTAGTACAAAAGTTCCAACCTGTTCCCTTTACGAGGCATCACAACATTTCAAACTTCTCTTAACGCTATCTCTGTCTTCTATTCATAGTTTTCTGGCAAATATTCCAAATATTATAACAACATCCTGTTCTACTAGATCACCAAATGATTTGTAAATATAGAAGTCGTTTAATATTGAGACCCTTCATAAAAGAGGGGCACCCAACGAGAATATAGTTCAAAACCACTTAAACATAGCATTGTTAAACGTATTTTAGTATTTAAACGGTAGATATAGGCATATTTTTATCCCTAAAAAAAATTCATCTGATCGGATTTCCTAGCTGAAAGTCTAGTGATCCGAAAATTATAGGGATCAAAACTTACCTTTTCGAAAATTCCAGTCAGAAAAAAGGCTCCCGAAAATTCTATAGGTGACCTTTTTAGGGTAAAAATAGGTTAAAAATAGGCAGTTTTACCATTTTTTAGATGTTCCAAAATCCTAGGAGAGGCCGGCGAGCAAGAAATATTACAACAAATGTTCCGAAAATTCTAGATCTCAAATAGTCTTCCGAAAACAGATATTTTCCGAAAATTGACGTTGGTTGCCCCTGATAAAAGGTGTCAGACAAGCGGATTTCCCTTTCGTCAAAGCTTTTCGAAATACATATACCTTGACAGAAATTTATTTGAATGAAATCCGATTATATTGTTTAGAAAGAAAAGTTTCCTCTTGGTTTGAATCCAGGATATCCGGCTGTAATTAAGCATTCTCAAACTCGTTAATAATTCATGAAGAAAATACAAAGAAAATTAATGTTTAATGAGTGTTTGGAAATCGGATGAAAAACTGCTCAGTATTTGCATCCTTAATTTCTCCTTCAAAAATGATTTTGTTTGAGAAGAAATATCAAACATTCGACGCAGTGTTTCATCACCAGATGAAACACATCGAAGTTCGTCAAAAATACTCCGCTGCGCGTCGTATTTTCAACTCTCTTCTCGGTGTTTCATCTGGTGATGAAACACTGCGTCTCATGTTTGATATATTACTTGAAATTTCCTTAGGCTGTGTCCATTAAGTTTCTTATTGTTTGCCCAGCCCAACCCCTACAGAACTTAGGATCGAACTGAGTAAGGTTTCGAAAACGCCAGCCCGTGTGGTTTGGCAAGATGGTCAGTGCCTTTCCTTTTTAACCCCAGTTTTTAAACCGGGTTTGCAAGTGGATACTGGGGTTTAAAAGCCCCAGTATCCACTTGCAAATTCTCCATACTGATCTCCATATATTCCCTTGAAGGATTAGTTGAGAGCATTTGATTCAAGATTAAAGCATTTCATACTTGGTGATTATTTTATCATTTCCCTTAACCGTCTGTCTATATGTTGTATGGAAAATGTTTGGAGAGAATTGATGCAGGTCACTATAGAGACTTAAACGGTTAAAGGAGCTGTGTCATAAGCTTTATCACTCAAACAATGAAAACTGTCACCATTAACATCTAACTCAAATAATAAATGTCAACGATGCGGAGCAAGCTATGGGCTTGACTGTAAAATGTTCATTAATTAATATATTAATGCCAGAGTACAGGGGCACCCAACGTTAATTTTCGGAAAATATCTGTTCGGAAGACGATTTGAGATCTAGAATTTTCGGAATATTTGTTGTAAAATTTCTTGCTTGCCTGCCTCTCCTAGGATTTTCGAACATCTAAATAATGGTATAATTGCCCATTTTTAACGGATTTTTACCTTAAAAAGGTCACCTAGATTTTTCGGGAGCCTTTTTTCTGGCTGCAATTTTCGAAAAGGTAAGTTTTGATCCCTATAATTTTCGAATCACTAGACTTTCAGCTAGGAAATCCGAACAGATGAAGAATTTTTAAGGGATAAAAATATGCATATATATATATATCTACCGTTTAAACACTAAAATGCGTTTAAGAATGCTATGTTTAAGTGGTTTTGAACTATATTCTCGTTGGGTGCCCCTGAGAGTAGTCAAAGTAAAAATAAAGAGCCCGTTTAAAAATGTTTCCTTCATGAGAGGTGGTTACTGACTTAAGTTGATTGCAAACTTAGAGCAAATTACAAAACATGTTGAGTTTTATTTGAATCCTGCGTGAAAACCTATGTTCCAGTTTTCCGTGTTTGTTTTTCATTTTTCTAAAGCTTGTTTAATGCTTGTTTTTAGTGGGAGTTCATGGCTACATACGTTACAAGCCTTAGTAATTGAGGAACGTGGAGATTAGAGTTGTGGTCTCTTCTGGTCGCCCGCAATATTAGGGACTTTAAGATCCAACGACGCGACGGCGACAAGGACGTCGCGTAAAAAGTGAATTTGCGTTCTTTCAGTCTTTAAAGGGATTATTCCTACCCACTTACTTTGTCAATTGTAGGCGAACCCTCCTGAAGCTGAATTTCAAGGGACCAAATTCAAGCTCAGAAAGAGAAACAAAATTTCGTCGTTGCTTGTTTACGTCCTCCATAAAACGCGAAATTAGGCATTTTCACGTCGTAGTCGTGCAAAAACGGGAAAGAAATGTACAAAAAAGTGTGATGCACGTGCGAAGTTGTTGTTTTGCTAATTAAACCAATTGTTTTTTTGACGTTCTCGTTGTCGTCCGCGTCGTTGGATCTTAAAGTCCCTATTGTTAGTGCGACAGAAGGAGAAACTTTACTTGAGGTAGCCGCTTATGTCATCCTCATTAAGTATTTTGTTTTCTATCGCCCTAGTGGCAAATTGCTTTGGAAAAAAGTTGAAGACTTCCTTATAAGTAATCCTTGAAAAAAAAACTCCTATTTGTAAAAAAGAACATAGTTTACCTCGACCTTTTTTTGAATGAAAATCCATGTTACTTTCAGTTATATATGACACGAATAAGTACACAATGGAATTTCATTTTTAATTTAATAACTTGATCCCGAGGCTAGTTAGGGCCATTATGTTTGTCCCGCCAACCGCATCTACTTTTACGAAAGAAATCTTTTTTTGATACCGGAATGGCCCTACTAATGAAGGACGTGAGGGATTGGGACAGCAGGTATTTTCTAGAATACTGTAAGTTGTGACGTTTATTCCGGACGCTATTTCGAGAATGCGTAGGCGCTCATTTGAGTAAATACGACATTAACCTCTCATTTGACGAAGAAATTTTCAAATTTGCGTTAACATTTACACGTACTTCTACTATTCACGTGTTGCTAACGCAGGCTTATTACGCATATGCCTCCTACGTGAAAATATTTTACCCTAAATACGTATTTTTAAGAAGATATACTGTTTTCAAACAATATTCAATAATTAATCACCGTGTATTGAATTTTTTTTTCCTTTCGCACTCATATTCCTATTCCTGTTTGTAAATGAAACGTAAAGCTTCGCATTTGTCTTTACCAACAAAGGAAATAGTATAAAATAAGATATATCATTTTGAAGTTATTTTTTCTTACGTTTTTGAATAAATGAATGACCTTTGTTCAAATCAGTTGGAAAATAATTAAAACAGTAGTACATGAGGTACTAGTTTGAATTAGCTTGATATGTAAAGTATACAAGTAATAATAAAACCTCAAAATTTAAATTCAAGAGTAAAATTCATTAAAGTCCTTAAAAAATGAGTGACAACAATGTCTCCATGACATTTAGATAATTTAGACCTTAAAAATATCAAATGGATTTAAGACCTCTAGGCATCTTCACCAAAAATTCCGGCGTTTCCTTAAGATCATATTCCAAACAATGCAAACGAAAAAGGCCTTTAAGTATCGCCAGTTTTTTTCTTATTGTTTTATTTTCTTGCAGAAGCCGATTGCCAGTTTGTAAACTAAATGCGAATGACTCACTTGATTGTCAGTTACTAAGAGTTGATCATATCTACTTGCAGTGAATATACTTGAATCATCAGATTCATTAAAGAGAAGTTCCCGAATAAAAGCGACCCGGCGCTGGTTCCTATCTATATATGATTTTTTTAAAAAATTGATGGCATTGTATTAACACAACAACCGATTGACAGTAGAGACAACTGAAAGTCAGATCATCACTTTAACCTTGTTTTCTTCTTACTATACTGCCGTCGATTTAGTTACCTTAAAGAGCTCCATTTTTTCGACTTGCCCTAATTAAATACGCCGAGTTACAAAGTTTCCAAAATCCCAGATCTTTTTGAAACTTGCAAAGCTAATTTGATTCTTCTAATGGAAAGGGTTGGTTCGTTCCTCATGGTGCTCTTTTTTGTTTAGGTGCGAGCATAAGGGAGGTATTTTATTATAACTTTTCAGTAAAGTCTTAAATGTAACCATTCAAGTGAAAGCCGTTGCTTAACTTTTTATTGTGGTGATAAGGCCATAAAAGGTAGTTATAAGCTCAAAGCTTACTCTTGGATAAAATTTTCTTGCTTTTCCGCATTTGAAAGAAAATCATATTATAATTATGCAAGTTTTGTCTGCATGTAGCAGTGTCCCTCGATGTAAAAATTAGCTCTATAGCGTTTGTGTCCATGAATGAAATCTCAAAAGCTGATAATTTAAATTACGGATAGTACACTATCTCTGCCCTAGTTCTGTTTTTTGTTTTAAAATGCATAATGCAAAAAATTCTCGCTAATAGACGGAGTTAATTTACCTGTGTATTGGCCTCGGAGTAAAACCGAATTGTCCATAGTCAGCCTCAGTTCGAAGAAGTCTTCGGTTTCTTTCACTTACCTTGAAAGCGAGTAGTCAGTTTCACTTATAAGTTCTTTGTTAAAGTGAGTTATGATAGAATCTCCACAAAATCGAACACATACAATGATTTCCAAAGGGAATAATTGGCTTAGAAAGCCGGAAACACATTAAGGATGTTCGTATGTGTGGGTGGAAGTTGGAGAGGAAGTTTAACAAAAACAATAAAGAGTCGTCTTTTGACCCACGCTTACAGCTGTTCTGTTGTCGAGCGATATTTTAAAGATTTACTGACGTAGGTTTTAGGAAATCGATCAGCCAAGCCGATGTGACAAAAGATCCGGAAAGATCAAGACACAAATACGAAAAATGCCAAGAACTGCATTTCCATCTCGAGCTACTGTCATGCATTTGGTCGACGTCAGCGTCAAGAATTTTTAGTCCTCAGTATCAGATTTAACATGAATTGATGCTCTCAGCGCTTCTGGACCCTCATATAAAAAGTCTGACTCAAAAGCGATCCAGGTCATAAGAATTAGAATAGAAACCTCTTTTATTTCACAGAGACAGTATAAAAACTTTAAGAGCGTTTTCACAAGACTTCGCCGCGGCCATACTGGTGTTCCAAATCAATGAAAAGGCGGCCACGTTCCAAACAATTCCTGTAGGAGTTAAACTCTTTTCTTTTGTAAATAAAACGCTTTCTTCTGTTCTAATGAATTTGCGTAGATGCTGGCCTCGTGAGCGAAACACTCTCTTATGAAAGTCTCTATTCACAGCAAACTTAGCAAACTTTAATCATGCAGTTTCCGGTTTGTAGGTAGGGTTTCAGCCGATCACATTACCAAGATGCGTGCGCGTGACAACGGAACAGGACTCATCTACCGAATAAATCTCCATCCAGTGGATAGTACAATTGGTTTTTCTAATACTTATCCACAGGATAGAGATTCATCTGATGGATAGTGCTCAGTCAGTCCCAGAGGAACTGCAACTTCCTGTTTTTTGAGGGAAAAAGATATCGTTCATAATATTTCACGTACCTAGAACATTCTAGAGAAAAGCAATCTTGAGGTAGCATGTCAAGGTCAAGGCCAAAATATGATGTAAAATAAAAAGGCTAATTGGCCATTTCCGAGTTCCAAAAAATCTCACTTTCAAAGCGAGGCTAAGTGCGAAGCCATTGATATGAAAATGATTTTTAATTATGATGCAAATAAAACTCATTTTCACAACAAAGGTTTCGCACTTAGACTCGTTTTGAAAGTGAGATTTTTTGGAACTCGGAAATGGCCTATTGTCACAATATAATAATTTGCTTTGTCAAAGACAATTTTTTTTGGCGACGAAGCGACGGAAGTGATCGTATAATGATACCTCAAGTAATCGCATAAAGTACGTCCGCCCTAGTTGTTCAAAGGGTAGATTGGCTTTATCCAACGGATGAACCTCTATCCAGTAGATACCATATCCACTATCAGGAAAACCAGCTGCGTTCCTCAGCACAGTTGGTTTTCCGGATACGTATCTGCTGGACAGGTCAAAAAACCTTTTAACAACCGCAGTCAGCTGAATATGACATTCTATATATGGCGAAAAATGCTGTACATTGTGGATATTATATTATACTACTTTGATCGCGATTCACGAGTTTGCTAGACTTGTTAAAACACGAAAACTGAACATAACAAACGCTGCTAACATAACAAAGGCTAGACGTGAGGTATATTTGGTGTGCAAATAAGGCACCGTCTATACATAACGATATTTTTTTCCTCCGTTTTCGAAAAAAATAAGCGTCCACATCCCTCACAGAGCATGCGTATTTCTAATAGTATACGATGTATGACGTCATTGTATTCGGAAACCTCCGAATGTGGGACGCTAGATTTTTCCATCCTAAGAGTTCAAAGCCCTAAGAGTGATCAGCATCAGACTTTTTTCCTTGTGATATCAATGCTTTGAAAATCAGAGTAGTCATGAGAATTACTGACATGATCACACAAGATGAGTTTGTTTGATATATTATCAACTTGTCCCCGCTACTTCTGTAGGAAATGAATAGGGGCAACAAATGAGAGTTCAAATTTTGATCTTAGGCCAGGGATAATCGAGCCTCCATATAACCTGAAGTCCGCGGTATCGCGAACGATATTCCTTACCCTAGTTTTAGCAGGATATACATGGAAAAGAACCTCGACTCCACGAAACCTCGCTATTGCGCACAGATTTTGTCAGCCCCATGGCTCTTCCGTTATATCGCGGTTCCACTTTATCGGTAGGATAATCCCAGACGACCGGGGATTTCACGTTTCCCGACAGGCCTGGATTTCGCAGACCAATGAAAACGAGGAATTGTGAGCTTCCCCGATTGTCAAGCCGAAATCGAGGTCCTCTACTTCTTTGGTCATCATCGTCATCATTCATCATCATCCTCATCCTCATCCTCGTCGTCGTCTTCTTCGAGGTCAAGTCTCGATCATTCCCTACATATGAATTTTTACTGTCGTCGTTCATTCACTCTCTACCTTGGCTCCTTAACAATCCTCTTAGAGGGGGGTGAATAGGGGTATGCAAATCCGCCGATCAGTTATGATTTATTAACCAAATCCGCCGTTAAATTTTCACCATGAATCCAAAATCCCCGCAAAAATATTTGTATTACTGACAAGCAGAGTCCAAGACCCGGGACCAAAAAATAGATGAATCCGCATTCCGCTGCAGTTGCAGGATCCGGAAATCCGTTAAAATCACGCTTTGAATCCGAAATCCGGGCAAAATGTTTGCAAAATCCGCCGATCCGTTCGCCTATTCACCCCCCTCCTCTTATACGCTTTGCTCCAGTTTTTCCCTTCACAAATCAAAACGGCATCTAGTATACTGGAACAGACTCTGCCGATGCCGACATGCCGGCAAAATTAAGGGCAGTCGGGATTTTTCCGTCACATAAAATGAGGCTTTATAATTGATACAAATGTCTTGCGGCAAAGATCTACCATGTTACGTATTCTCACCTGAACGTTCCGCCATTACACACTGCTGCGAACAACTAACAAGAGTGTGGTACACGGTGCAGGTTCAAGTCGTCTTTTTCACCTCTTGACTGAGTAGAAACTCTCAATAACACAATGTCCTGAAAACAATATAAGATAAGAAAGGCAGTTTTCAATAATCAGGAGTAGCAAAATATAGTTGCTAATTCCACTGAATTTCTTGTGAAGAGAATGTGAGGTTTACAATCGTGTCGAGATTCGCATCGAATGAGGAACGTGCGTGAATCAGCTAGCGAGATGGAAGTGGTTTGCCATTTACAAAAACAAGGTTTCCAGAAACTGATCCGGTTGGAAAGTAGACGGAACAAGGCTTTTCAGGTCGTTCCGGTGGAAAATATCCGGGAACAAAGGAATTCCCGAAAAGGTGATCCTGTCACGTTTTTTCCGTCGGAATGTTCCAAACGGAAATTCGAGTTCAATTTCTTAAAGCCGATTTCGATACCTGGAACTAATCTGTGAAAAAGGTAAACGTGATTCTGGTGCGAAATTTACCAGTCTTGAATTTTGCTTACCTTTTACCCAAACTGTGGAACCGACTGTGTAAATGGTAAACAACCGGAAATTTCTCACCCCGGCTATCATACCCCATGGGAAAACCAAGACAGTCTTGGGTTCTCGATTCCACGCCTTAGCTTGGATTCCGGATTCCAGGTACTGGCCGATTCCACTTTGTCAGTGGAACTTGGACTCCTGATTCTAACAGTTACCCGGATTCCAGATTCCAAAGCCCCGGATTTCGGAATTCGGATTCTTTTTACATGAGACTACATTCTGCAGCTTTTATGACTTTGTTTAAAATACCCTAGCCTCGATGTTTTTCAAATTAATATTTCAAACAGGCCTGCCCATTCCTTGACCACTTTTTTTATGGTGCTTCCTTTCAGTTTAACGCTTTTTGAAGGCGAGAAAACTAAGGGAAGTTGTAGGTAAACAAAATATTCAATTTTTTGAAAGACGTTTTTGACTTGACTTTAACCTTTTCCCCCTAAATTAATTCTCACTCGAATGCAAGGACCAGGCGCTGAATTGACCGAAAAACTTGTTTTTCCTGTCTTGCGTGCAAGACGATTTCATGCGCCATTCAGGAGCGAAGCTAACGTGACGAGGACGACGTCGTGGAAGGTCGCAATACATAAGGTTATCCTTAAAATAGGCAAGTGAATCAGTCTAGGAATTCCTGATTAAGAGAGCCCAGATTTCCGGTACACCATTGAAACTGTGTTAAGGGTAGTTGTTCTGATGTGTACCTTCCCGTTGCACATTATTATTCACCAAACTTCATCCTACTCGAAGCCTTTAAGTGCGGGACTCCATTGGCAGAAAGTTTCAGTAAAGTACCTAAAAATCTTCTAGACAGGCTTTTCAATAATTTTAAGATGGAAAAGATTGCAATTTAATGAATTTAAGTTGTATTATCGGGGAAGGCGTGTGTCCAGAGTCCGGACCCCCGGACCCTCTTTCCCAGGCCGCTGAGAATCGCTCTGAATGCATCTTTCCGTTTCCAAAGTAATGAATTCGCCAAGTAACGCTACATCGATAAAGAGATTCTTTCCTGAACACAATCTCACATGTGGCTGGTTTCCTCAGCAGTTTAAGGGTTTGTAAAGTTCAAATTACCGTTTCGATGTGGAGGAGTTCGTGAAAAATTACATGCACATTTGGGACGTTCAGAGTTTATTATTATTATTAGAGTGCATGTCTATTTTTAAATTGAAGTTTGGAAAGTGAGTAACCGAGAACCGTTTCAAAGAACTCGCCGTGTCTTTGTATAATTCTTACTGCAAAATCACATGGATCGGAGTCAATTACAGCAAGGAGCGTTTAATACGGTGAAGATGATGAAAATTTCGGAAACAATCATGGAGCACTTCCGAACAGCTGATGCCTTCTCCACGACTAAAGGTATTTTTACTCTTTATCTGTTCATTAAGTTTCGTATGGTTTGT